TCAGAAGATACACACGGCAGTATCTAGTGGAGTCATCAATTAACATCATGAAATATTTCTTTCCACCTTTTGTCAACACATCATTCATTTCACATAGATCTGAATGTATGAGCTCTAGTGGTGCAAGATTTCTTATTTCTGCAGTCGTGTGAGACGTACGAGGTTGCTTAGCTTGCACACACACTTGACACTTAGATCCCTTGACGGTGGTGAAACTAGGGATTAAGTTCAACTTCGCTAGTCGCGACATGCAACCAAAGTTAACATGACAAAGACGTGAATGCCACACATTGGATTCAGTATTGTTGCAAATATGATTAACAACTTTATTGCAAATGTCTGATAAGGATAAACGAAACAAGCCTCCTGACTCATAGCCTTTACCAACAAAGGTTCCATACTTGGATATTACAAATTTATTTGACTCAAAGACAAGCTTGTAGCCATCTCTACACAGAAGAGATCCGCTAACAAGATTTTCATTGACGGAGGGGACATAATGCACGTTCTTCAGCCGCACGATCTTCCCCGAAGTAAACTTCAGATCGACCGTGCCAACACCACGAACAGAAGCACTTGAACCATTGCCCATCAGCACGGTTGAAGTTCCTGCGGTCTGATAAGACGAAAACATGGAAATATCACTGCATACATGCACATTAGCACCCGTGTCAATCAACCAGTCAGGAGAATGACATACTGAAAGAATAGTGGGAAATATACCATACCCAGCATCCTTCATGTCAGTGTCTCCAATGACAACATTAGCGGTCTTGCCGCCTTTCCCGGGATGACGCTTGTCATAGCGATTAGGGCAACTAGGAGCCCAATGATCAGGATCCCCACACACATGACAAGCACCTTTCTTCTTGCCATTATTCTTCTTGAAGTTCGTGTGTTGCACAGCCTTGTTCTTCCCATCAAACTTTGCTTTTCCATCAAACTTGCCCTTGTTCTTGAACTTGTGGGGTTGAAAGTTCTGCTTCTATACCACATTGGCACTAGATCCTCCCTCAATACCTCGAGCATGTGTGTCCTTTGCTCTCGCCTTTTCTTCCACATCAAGAGTGCTAATGAGATCCGGGACGGAAAACTCCTGCCTCTTATGCTTCAACAAGGTAGCAAAGTTCCTCCATGAAGGAGGAAGTTTAGTGATGATACCTCCGGCAACAAACTTGTCCGGTAGCATACAACTGAAGTGCTCAAGTTCTCTAGCAAATGACTGTATCTCATGAGCTTGCTCAACCACGGAGCGCTCTTTAGTCATCCTGTAATCATAGAATTGCTCCATGATGTACAACTTAGTGCCAGCATCCGAGACCCCAAACTTGGCCTCGAGTGCATCCCACATATCTTTTCCATTATCAATTGACGCATAAGCATCAACTATGTTCTCACCAAGAACACTCAAGAGAGCAGCCTTAAACAGAGTATCCATTTTCTGAAAAGCTTGTGTCTGTTGAGCATCAAGCTCTCCTTCAGGTTTGCCGAGAGTGGCGTCATAGCAACTCATGGTTTGAAACCATAAGACTGCTCTCACGCGCCACCTCTCATAGTGGATACCCTCAAACATAGGACGTCTCATGGAAGTAGCAAAACCACTCGGGGTAAATTGCCTATAATAAGGTTTTTGGTTGTTGGAAATATGAGCAATTTACCAAACAACTTTGCTGACAGAAATACTAGATAAAGCATGACTAATATAGCAGAGATAAAGCAAGTCATGCAATTTGACAAAGAGAAGGTAAACAACATCTTCATATATGAGCTGTAAGTAAACATATCTAGAGCAGACAGTATAGCAAGTAGCATATATGAAGTAGAACCTATCAGGTGTAGGACAAGGACTAGAACAAGGAACTGCGGCAGAACCTTTAACAGGAAAAACAAGAACACGTACGGGACAGCAGCAGCAGAAGCGCTGGACTTGGGGTCGGTGTCCTCGCCTGCCATGTCGTTGAGGAGGTCGTGGACGTCGAGGAAGAAGTCGTCATCGACCAGATCGTCTATGATGAAGCAGCCAGTAGTCGCGCTGAGCGCTCCCCAAAAACCTTATCACCCTTCTCCCGTACATGACTCAAAAGGTGCGGTTTCGGAGGCCTACTGTCCTGACTCATGGTGCACGTCGCAAGCCGGGATGAGGAAGACAACAACAGCTCAGAGATTGGAACCGGTGGCGAGAGGAAGGAGAAGTTCTGGTGCGTCTCTCTGGGAGGAGCGGCCTCTCTTTTATAGGCGCAATAGAAGGAGGCGAGAGGGCAACGACGGGAGGCGAAACGAAGAGATATAGACGAAGCGAACAACCAGCAGTCGAAGGGCTGCACCGTTCGCATGCTTCCGTGTGACCTTTCGTATATCCGTAGTGTGTGGCAAAATTTTAGATATCGGCGACGAGGCGTGGCGGGCGGCGGAGGAGGAGCGCGCATGGATATCCCTATTGTTTTCATGCTCGTACAAGTGGGAAAAGAACCTCCTTTATAAGGAGGTCCAACTCCCACTAAACTAGCAACGTGGGACTAAACTTTAATAGTATCCCTTGCCTTGCACAAATGGGCTAATTGGGCCTCTAGGATTTATTAGGAATTTCTGAAATAGTTATTGGGCTGTCCAAAATAGACTAAATTCCAGCACACAGGAGATGAGGCAGATCGGCGACGGTGCCGATGGGAGGTGGGGAAACCCTAAATACTGGGAGCCTTTTTTTATTTTCTTAGAAGAGAGAAAAACACATGTACCACATGTGTTCATTTCAGTAGGATACAACTATAAACTCTATTTGTATACGCACATTATGCAAAACTAAAGGGCTCCGGTATGGAGTGGCGATAGCGACTCGGTCTGGCGGTAGGTGTGGTTTTTCGGCGGTCTTGGAATCTTGATGTAGTTTTTGTTACAAGGATGAACTTTTATTATTGATTTGCTCCTTTTCTTTTTGCCAAAAAAAAGAGAAAGGGCAAAAATGTCTCAACCAAACACATATAAACCGACCATGCACCTAATAAATTCACTCAAGAAAGATGATTCTCAAAAAAAAAAAAACTCAAGAAAGACATAGGCCTTTCCACCCGGGTCCTTTACTTCCACCGGTCCACAAAGTAACGAACGAGCATCAAAGCGCGGTGACTTTGGCAAAGCCGGCAGGGTGGTGATTTGTTTAGCCACAAAGTTAACCGCCCCCGTCGTCGTTTGACCGAGATTCTCTCCCCCGCGCGATCGACCTGACACCCTCAGCCCGCGCGCGCAGCGCCCGTTGCCATGCCATGCGCACCCCCAACCCAAATACATAAACAGTCGCTGCGTACGCCACCCATGGGCGCCGGCCGACGGAGAGCATCATCCTGCGCTCGCTCATTGGACCGCCGTATCTGAGCCTTTTAACTAAAGAACGCGGGCGGGGCACATGGGGCGGAGGACGCGCGGACACGTACCGGCGCGCCGGAGAGATGGAAAGCGCATGAGCGTATTTGCCGCGCTGGGACGTGGCGTGCGCGCCGGCCGGCCGGCCGACGGCGGGCGGGGCGTGGAAAGGTGGCGGCCGAGCGAGCGTGGTGCGCGGTGCGCCGGTGGGAATGCGTGACAAACCGAGGGCTACGGATGGATGGATGGCGCTGCCACCTTTTGCTGGTCGATTAACTTATTGTTGTTCCGATACGGGCAGATGATCCTGCGCTGCGTTTTTCAAAAGTTTTTATTTGCTCGCGGACGACGCAACTGACCTGACCCGGTGCTTCTCGTCCAAGCAAAAGTCCAGCTTCACCGCCGTTCAAAAGGTGAGCATGGAACGACTGCGCTGCGTTTGACCGAGTACTTTCTTCATCCGAAATTAGTTGACGCTCAATACATCTACCACATACGTCGGTTTTGATTCCGGGCGGAGGCAGTAGTACATACTCCTACAACACAACAGGGGACGGATCTGCTCTACTCTACCACTACCAGGCCAGAGCACTGCTGCACATCGTTATTACTGGGCATGTGTCCGGCTGTGAAGCTGGCGCGCGCCGCACACAGAAAGCGACCTGTGCCGCGCTGCTGCTGCTGCTGCTGTTAAACGCTGCGCGCAGATAGATTGTTTGTTGCACCTTTCTCTCCACCACACAGGCGCAGAGGCACGCAGGCGCTCCTCTCGCACTCGCACTCGCGCTCGCGCACGACAGGCAGGGGCAGGGGCAGGGGCAGGAGCGCGCCACCCCACCCGTTTCCCTGTAAAGTTCTGCCGCACCCTCGGGCATCAAAAGACTAAACGGATAATTAGCCCGGCTAGCTAATCCTGGGAGCATATTATACAATCAAACAGTGGAAGAAATACCACGCCCTTTTCCTAACCCAAAAAGTATCATCGCCGTGTGGTTTTCATGCAGCGGCAGCAGCAGGAGCAGCCGGGGGCGAGTTTTTAACATATTGCCAGTGCGTTGAGGCGAAGGAAAAGAGGAGCAGACGCAGAGGAAAAGGCTAGAGAGAGCAAGAGGGAGATGCTGCTGCTACTGCGTCCTGCCCACACCACACCACGTTGAGCCATTGACATTGCGACGGGCGGAGCGAGCAGGAGAGGAGGCGGCTTTGGCAGCCGCGGAGAGCAGGCAGAGCGCAGAGAGCAGAGCAGCGGCCGAGGAGGAGTTAATAATACCAGCACCACCCCTTCCATGGCTCACACGCCACGCCATCACCATCATTGCCGCCTCCTCCCTCCCTCCCTCCATATCCCCTTCTTTAATTGCTGCTGCTGCGTTCAAGCCTCCCCCACACCAACCCAACCCAGCCGCGCCTCTCTCTTGCTACGACTCTCTTCCCCTGCTGCCGTTGCGTACTGCTGGGTGTTTTTTTCGTCCGTGCTCTGCTTCCCGCTGCCTCTCTCTCGCGCCGTCCCGGGGTGGGAAGGAAAGTGCATGGGAAGAAGAAAGCACCGGGCCGCCTGAGTGAGCGTCAGACGGACAGACAGTGACTTCTTCTGCGAGGGTGCGAGGGAGCTAGAGGCTGCCGGAGAGGGAGCGAGGGAGAAGATGAAGTTCATGAAGCTGGGCTCCAAGCCGGACGCCTTCCAGTCCGGCGGCGCCGACGTCAGGTCAGTCACCCTCTTTCCGTCTTTCCTTCCTCTCTCATCCTCCTGTCCATCTCTACCGTTGCTTCCTTCCCGCTCAAACCGTGGGCGGGTTTTCCCTTCCCCTGCGCTGTCTGCTGTCTTACGTTTCTTGCTCGCGCCGCCGCCGCTTCTCCGGTTCATGGCGGCGGAGCAGAATCTCCTCTCGTCCATGTCCTCCCCCTCTTGCTCTACACGTAGCTAGGCGCGTTTCGCCGCAAGATTCTTGCCACAGACACCTTCGTCTTCTCCCTTCCTTCTGTTAGTGCTCCCGGTGAGATTCTTGCAAGCGTATTCATGCCGTGCGTCCCTTTGGAACAGCAGAGCTTATAGAATGGCGGCCGTTCGGGAACCGCTCTTATCGCATCACCACCTTCTTACTCCGACTGTCATGCTTGCGCCTCTTCCTCCTGTACCAGTTTATGTGGAGTTTTGGGCCTGGCATTGCGCTTGGATCTTGGTTACTCACCCCCTGTCCGATTGCTAATGCGCCATAAAAAACAGTTTTGCTCCAAAATACGGCTGTTTCATTTCGAGCCACGGCGTGAGTTGACTATTGGTTCTTGGGAAGTGCGGAGTGCTAGGCTGTGTGCGCCGTTTCTATCTATCTATCTCTACCAGTTTCTGCCTTGTCCTGTCCCCTCTGCCCGCCTTCTTTTGTTTATGCTTCCTCCATGTGTGGCTCTCTACGCTTCTCCCAACTGGATCTAGCACTATGATACCAGTAGCAGAACGGAGTTTCTCCAACTGATCCCTCGAGCTGGCATTCCTTGTTTCTCTCGGGATTAGTTGTTCGTGTCCGTCCCATTGTCGCCATCCTCCCCCCTAGCCTCTTATACGGTTCAGTTCACAGCGATGAGCAGTCCTCTGATTAAAAAACAACAACGAAAAACACTCTTCTTGTAATGTATACTGTAGTTCATTCATCCTTTGGTTGGGTCTCATTTACTTACTTGAAATGTTCTTGCATCTTTTTCCCGGCGTCCGTCAGTGCCTTTCACCCTCATGTAGATTGCTCTGCATCATTTGCTCGCCCAAAAGAATGATTGACTTCCTTTTGTCTTTTAAATCCAAACATGTTGTAGCACTTGTTTTCTCCCCTCTTTGCTAGTGCGGAATAGATCTGAGTGCTAGGGGCAATGCGCTGAGCGCCAGTATTAATCTAATGCAGATGCCACTACGCCCTGCTGTTCGTCTTGGCATGGCAACTTGGTTAAAGTTGGCCAGGGTTAAGTTATTGTCAAGGAAGGAAGAAAACAATTGTCATCTCCCCATCTCACTAATCATTGATCAGGCCTCACTTTGCCTCCGGTTAATCTAAAGAATCCACTGCAAGTTGATGGTCTCTCCAAGCAATCCAGCATTCTTTTCTCTGAATGCCAAGTGCTGGTGGTAAAAAAGAAATGGGTTTAAAGCACAAAGCAGAGCTTGAGCCTGACATATGTATCTTCTTGGCAAGGTGCTTTTGTAGCCAGTTAACTAGATGAAGAAACATTGGAAAGGGATGGTGTCAAGCTCAAGTTGAGCCTGTGGGATTTCTGGACCTTGTTAATTAGTAATGAACTAATGATTAGTGGCCAGCCGATGGCATGCATACGTGTCCTGTTCACCAACTCCAGACCCCTAGTGCCCTACTTCTTCCCTTTGCTGAACTGGAATAACTGGAAAGCGAGCCGCATACACAGTCTAGTTTAACTGCCACTGCATGTTTTTCCTCCATTATTGGTGTGTTGTAGATGTAGTGGAGGTCTTTACAGCTTAGGATAAGCTTCATGTCTACGCTGTTGTCATGTGTTTCGAGAGAGCGACTAGTCAATGGTCTGCGGGTGACGGTCGATATGTTGTTTTTTTGCGGGAGACTGTTAACATAATCTCAGATGTTTGTTTCATTCTGATAGTCTTGACATTTTCCTGAGCTTCTCCACAATTGGTATGCGTGATTTCGGGGGTGAAAGCTTTGTAGGAGCGTTAGGCGGGTACAAGAACTACCTGTATAAAACTAAATCTCTGTAATGTTTTTTTAACATTACCATGGTTACCAAAGAGTGTTTGTGTGTTCTGTTTCGCAATATGATATGCTTACAAGTTTGTTCATATGCGCAGATTGGTGGTCTCTGACCTTGCAACGGATGTTATTGTGCATATTGGTGAAGTCAAATTCTACTTGCACAAGGTCAGTGTGCTAGTATTTTCAGCAATTTTTGCTTAAGTCAACACTAAGCATTTATATTTGCTTCTACAAATAACGGCAAGGGTGGTGGAAGTAGATATGTGTTACGTCCTGGAGTACGTAGTTCTTCAGACACAGAATGTTCAACTGTCGGGGTCTCTTTGTCATGCCATCAAGAGTAGTAACATCATCAACATTTATCATCAACATTTATGCTTCACGTCTGATTGTTGTTGGGCTGTCTCTTTCCAATCTACTGGGTCCTGTTTCACACACAAATTATTTTCACTGCCAAGCTGATTATCAACACCACCTTAAAATATTTTTGATGCTTAATAGACTGCCTTCAGCAATCTAACCAAACAAATCGAAGAATCATCCATTGCATTTATGTTACCATTCTTCAGCCTAACAACACCTTGTAGCAACCCTATGCCGTTTTTTTTCTTAACAAGGTCTGCTTGTAGCTTAAAGTAAAGAAAGTGATTTGTGTTGTCAAATTGTGTTGAATCAAGTAAAACCTACCTGCATGGAACACTTCAGTACTTAATATTGGTGCTGGTAAACTTTAGTTTTACCAGGGTATCAGTTAGCTATTTAAAACTTGCCTAAATTTTAGGGTTGCTTCAGACTCCCATGACAATAATTCAACTCAAAACACTGCTGAAGGAAAGAATACCCTGATAGCATTTGCATAGATACAAGCTTAATCATTTTCATCAAGTGCTTGGCATTTTGTTACTTGAGTGTTATAATCACCAGTGCTGCATTATGTAAATGATTTATTTTCTAGCTGGTGATAACTCATATGCAGAGCAATATCTGATTACCAATCATGACTGAAAATTTATGTCTGTGTTGATTGTTGTATGCAGTTTCCCCTTCTGTCCAAGAGCAGCAAACTTCAGAAGCTAGTCCTTAAGGCTACTGAGAAAGGGACAGATGACATCCACATAGATGATTTACCCGGGGGAGCAAAAGGGTTTGAAATATGTGCAAAATTCTGCTATGGGATGGTTGTCACCCTCAGTCCCCACAATGTTGTTGCAGCAAGATGTGCAGCAGAGTTCCTTGGAATGACCGAAGATATGGACAAAGGGAACTTGATATTCAAAATCGAGGTCTTTATAAACTCCAGCATCCTCCGGAGCTGGAAAGACTCGATCATTGTTCTCCAGAGCACGAAGGCACTGTTACCTTGGTCTGAGGAGCTGAAGGTTGTCGGTAGATGTATCGACGCCATTGCTTCGAAGACCTCTGTAGATCCTGCAAATGTATCCTGGTCATACAGTTATAATAAGAAAGGAGTAGCCTGCACTGAAATAATTGAGCCGGCAGGAAAAACTTCGGTAGCTCCCAAGGACTGGTGGGTTGAGGACTTGTGTGAATTGGATGTTGATCTCTACAAGAGAGTTATGGTTGCTATCAAATCCAAGGGGAGGATGTCACCTGACTTGATAGGAGAAGCCCTCAAAGCCTATGCAGTTAGGTGGCTGCCAGACTCTTACGACGCTCTGGTCGCTGATGATTACATGAGAAGGAACCAATGCTTGGTGGAGACCATAATATGGTTGCTGCCGTCAGATAAGAGCTCGGGTTGCTCTTGCAGGTTTCTCCTGAAGCTCTTGAAAGTTGCTATATTAGTTGGGTCTGGGGATCATGTGAAGGAGGAGCTCATGAGAAGGATCAGTTTCCAGCTGCACAAAGCTTCGGTGAAGGATCTCTTGTTGCCTGCTGCTTCGCCCAGTGAGGGCATGCATGATGTTCATTTGGTCCATAATCTTGTTCAGAGATTTGTTGCAAGAACAGCATTGTCTCACAATGGCGATTTCGTCGAGAAATCTGATGAGAAAATGATTGAGCTCAACTTTGAGCAAGAATCCACTTTGGCTCTAGGGGAGTTGGTTGATGGGTACCTATCTGAAGTAGCTGCAGATCCAGACCTTGAATTCTCCACCTTTGTAGAACTAGCTACGGCGGTGCCAGAAGCAGCTAGACCTGTTCATGACGGCTTGTACTACGCGGTTGATGCGTATATCAAGGTATGTTCAATGCACTTGATGAACCTAAATTTGCTCAATGGTTGCTGTCAGTACTTTCTGCTATACTGAATGGAAACTTGATCCTAATAATCTTATACAAATCTTAACCATAGTTATACTAGTCTTTGGTTAAGCATGGAAGCAGACTTGATAAATCGCCTGTTTGCTATCTCACCTTTTATAAGACCATAACCACACCTGATCATTTGCTTCTTCTAACCAGGAACATCCAGACATAAACAAAGCAGACAAAAAGAAGATCTGCAGCCTGATAGATGTCAAGAAGCTTTCGACAGATGCATGCGTGCATGCCACACAAAACGACCGCCTGCCTCTCCGGGTGGTGGTGCAGGTCCTCTTCTTCCAGCAGCTGAGGGCGGGTTCAAGCAGTGTACCAGCCCCAACTGACGGCGGAGAGCATGCTTGTGCAAAGCCTGTGCAGGAACAAAGCGAGCACTGCGAAAGGCGGATACCGAGGCACCCAAACAAGCTGGATAAGCAAGTGACAAGCCTAAGCGCAAGAGGAGAGGGCGAGGACCGGCACGTCGAGCTCAGGGGAGGCAGAAGCAGCTTCAAGGATCAAGTTGTTGGCAGAAACAGCTTCAAAGATCAAGTTGTTGGCAGGAACAGCTTCAAGGACCAACTCGGAGGCCTCCTGCTGCAGTCGCGGTCGAGGAGGATATTCGACAAGCTGTGGAGCAGCAAGGGGCATGCAGAGAACGGCAAGGGTTCAGAGACGTCCGGCAGCTCACAGAGCCCGCCATCGACGGCGAAGCCCACGGAAGTGAAGCCCTCTCCTCTCCCCCCTCTTAGGAACAGAAGGTATTCTGTTTCATAGGGGCTCTTCTTACTCCTTGTCCCCCCTCTTGTTTTAGTTTAGCTTTGGGTTAGGTTTGTACAGGAAAGAGAAGTTATCAGCTGATGCTCATCATTTTTGTTTGCTCCCTGCTCTGGTCAATGAAGAGAAAATATGTTTGGGAGGACTGTAAGCAGCTCAACATGCTGCTCTCTGTATGGTTATCTAAGTCAGAGGCCCGTAGCTTACCAGTGTATCTTAACTAGAGGAAAGATCTAGTATGGTTGGTTCTTCTCTGAAATGTTTATGAAGAAAAAGTTAAAAGGGTATGTGCGAACACTCGTTCTTGTGTCCAGAGCAGAATGTTTTCAGGATTCGGCGAACCAGCCTCACATGAATATAATTTATATTTTCCGATCAATCTTTCTGCATTTAGCCCTACATGAAACTTGAATTCAGGAAAGAGTGGCGAAACACAATCAAAATTCAGGTGATATATGGATCTTACTACGCAGCAGAGCTAATAACAGAGGCGGATAAAGTTGCGAGTAGTTTTGTCAAATCATATAGGCAGATAACATGGAAGACAGCCCCTCCCACTAAGCAAAGCTAGTTTGTTATTATCTCTTTGCAACACCAACACAGGTTCCATGCCACCAATGGTCACTTCTCTCAGGAGGCAAGTGTTTCCATTACAGCTTAACTAGTAACCACCCCTCAGAGCAAGGACAAGATGGAGGACCGAGCCACCTTCGATGTTGTAGTCCTTGGCAGTCTTGTCATCTGCAAGCTGCTTACCAGCGTAAATCAGCCTGCAAGCAGAAAATAATTACACCGTTAGTCTGGGCCATCCAAATACTAGATACTACAAAGTGTCCCCCGCCGTTGTTACAGATATGAGGAACAGAGAGAGTTCATTTGAGCAGAATATAATGCACGTAGAAAGATCGAAAGAAGAGTAATATCAGGCTTTGTTATTACCTTTGCTGCACAGGAGGAATGCCTTCTTTCTCCTCAACGCGCTCCTTGATCCTGTCAATCGTGTCGGTGGGCTCAATGTCGATTTCGATCTCCTTCCCAGTGAGAGTCTTGACCTTGATCATCGTGCCGCCCCTGAGCCTGAGGACCAAGTGAAGAGTCGACTCCTTCTGAATGTTGTAGTCAGCAAGCGTGCGTCCATCCTCCAACTGCTTGCCAGCAAATATCAAACGCTGCTGGTCCGGAGGAATCCCTTCCTTGTCCTGTGACAGTGCACAAAATAGCGTGAGTTTCCACAAGTGCTTGAGGTAGGATATAGCCTGCCACTTGACCAATGCAGTAGCTATCTTGATACAATGCCAAGTGAAGAAAGCAAAGTTCGCAGTGCAGAATTATTTTCTGGATTCTGGTCACAGCTGTGACAGACATGACGAAGAATGGATGCGTGATTTGAAAAAGAGCATAGGTACCTTCACTACAACAATTATACAACAGTGAAAAGCATAAAGGATGGATGTGTGATTTGTAACAGATTAATAGGAACTACAAGAATGAAACGCATAAAGGCAGTGATCTCATCATTTTCTTGGGGAACAAAATAAAGGCATTCTTGGATATATTCTACCCTATCACAAGGAGCAGCACCAGCACAAGATATCAAGTGAGATATCCATGTGTCACAACAAAGAATGTACTGTATTCCTTTTTGTAATTTGTTACTGAATCAGATACCCACTATACAACACAATGATATACTTTGTATACAACTACAGTCTCAGCTTCACAAAGAGGAACTACCTTAATTGTTCTAATTTTGCATACCAAAAGGGATTTGTTTAATCTAATTTGACAGAAGAAAGGGGTGAACCCTTGCATACAACTTTAGGCGCAGCCCCGCAAAAGAAACCCTACAGAGTTTGCTAAAAACGTCCCGGCATGCTTGCCCTGATTCGGGCAATCCGAACTTCGCCCGATAATATCCCTGCCAGGAAACCTGAACACAACTCCGAGTGCCTGCCCGAATAAACGCAGCGCAAGCTGAAATCCTAACAAACATGCGCAGAAACAGCACGCCGTCTAAAGAACTAGGGCAGAACCAGATGGCCCCCGGGCGGGATAGGAGCGGCACACCAACGATTTACCGGACGCATCGCCTCAGCAAAATCAAACCGGACCAATCAGCGGGTAGACCTAGAAAGGATTAGGAAGGGGGCGGCGGCGGCAGCGCACCTGGATTTTGGCCTTGACGTTGTCGACGGTGTCGCTGCTCTCGACCTCGAGGGTGATGGTCTTCCCCGTGAGGGTCTTGACGAAGATCTGCATCTTCCTGCTGCTCGTGCGTGCGGTGCGGGAGGGAGTCAAGCTGCTGGTCGCGTGAGGACGACGGAGCGGGGGCGGAAGCGGACGAAAACGAAACGAAAATCCTTTCTTTTCTCCTCGGGTGGGGTGGGTGTCTCTGCGGCTCGGGTCCGGCTGGATTTATTGGGGGAGGGGTGGCGGCGTTGGCGTCGGGAACCCGCGGGCCGGTGGGTGTTCCTGTTCCAGTCGGGCCCGACCCGACGCCTCCTTTTGATTAAAAAAATACATTTTTTATACTCGCTCCGTTCCACAATATAATTTATATTTACACCCTAAAAGAATTATATCTTGTTTTTTGAAAGTTTGTTTGATGAATTAAAAAAAATCAATACTCACAGTACAAAAACCACTGTTATTAGATTTATCATGAAGTGTACTCTTTTTTTTTTGTATTTTAGATGTCTATACTTTATATCCCATGAAGTACTCACTCCGTTTCTAAATACAAGTCTTTTAGAGATTTCAATATAAACTACATATGGATGTATATAGACATATTTTAGAGTGTAGGTTCACTCATTTTGCTTCGTATGTAGTCCATATTGGAATATTTAAAAAGACTTATATTTAGCAATGGAGGGAGTATAAACTTTGTCAAATGTAGACTATCTACAAGAAATATTTTAGAGTGTAGATTCGCTCGTTTTGCTTCGTATGTAGTCTATATTGAAATATTTGAAAAGATTTATATTTAGCAATGGAGGGAGTATAAACTTTGTCAAATGTAGACTATCTGCAAGAAAAAGACATGTTTGACTTTCAGAAAACAAAATATGCCATACGTTACGTAATGGAGGGAGCAGAATTTTTATAGGATAGGATGTGTATCCTTATAATTTTCTCTATATATAGTGTTTGATTTGTAGGATTAGAATCCTTGGAAAAACATTCAAAGGACTAATTTGCACGCTATCTTAGAGGAAAATTTATATCCCGCGCAGATCATTTTTTCACCATCATTTGTTTTTCGTGTGATATTAAACACTCTCCAGTCTAAATTTTTATAGTTTGCTAATCTTATAGGATTCAAGTTGGCATGTCACCCTAATTTTGCTCACCACAAAAAGACTCCTAGACAATTAGGTTTCCTCCTCCTCCCACTAGTGTCTCCGTCGGGCCTCTCCACCTTCGATGCCTTTGGGCAGTGGAGGTGTGGAGGACCTCGGGCTCTCACTGGCGGAGGGACCCCACTCTCGCTTTTATTAGGTTTAGCGTCTTGGTTAAGGTCGTGTGGTTGCGGCGATGCCCCTTAGTAGAAATAATGTCTTTCAAGTTTGATCCTCGTCTCAATGATACGTCTAGCCTTGTCGGAGGGCGTGTGGAGGAGTGTCTATGTGGTTTCACGAGATTTGGTCGGTGCTGGTCTTCATCGACAATGATTGCTGCTCTGGGGCACTGGTCCTGTGAGATTTTCGGACGACGACTTCCCAACCGTTTAGTACCATAAAGTTTGCCCAACTATAGTGAGGGAGGACGATGATGGTGGCGCACCTTCGACTCACTTCAGTGTTTGTATTCCTCCTTAGATGGTCCACATATTTGGTTGTATTTTTTTGTTATATCTCTTGTGATATCTAAAATGTCGTGATTTGATTACGAACAGATCAAGAATTTCACCGAAAAAAAATTGTGAATCAAAGAGGCCCAAGTTGGTTCGCATTTTTTTCTTTCCTGCCAACTCTTCCGGGAAAGAAGTTACTGGCATACCCGTGCACACAAAACCCAGGGGCGCACGCACAAACGAATCAGTTCGCGTGGTAGCGTTCGCGAACCAACGGGCTGCGTCGGCAGCGTCGCAGGTAAACTCGTCTACTCAAAGTTCAGCATCTGCTTACATCCCACGCAGCCCCCGCCGCCAGAAATAAAAAGCTGACGGCGTGCACAACCCATCCACACGTTACGAGCACATATTCCACAACACCGTGTGGTGCTGCTCCGTTCAGCCAAAGGAGGCAACAGACAACAGGCGCCGGCAACAGAATTACAAACGGCGGACCGTAAGCAGCATTACTATGCTAGCACGATAATCTTCTATATCTAAATAGCTAGCCCCACTAACATATTTCTCTCAACATGTAAGCATGTCACATCATCAAGCAACATGCATGGCAAAAGGCCTATCACAACATGCATTCATGCACATGGAAATATCCACCTCAACATGCAAACATATATTAGATATTTTACAATACATTAATCAAACACAATAAAGCATATGGATTTGCAATTTTAGTTTTCATAGTATCACTATTCACGTTCCATAGAAATCACATATCATCGAAATGTATTGCAAATGTTTCCGCAACAACGTGCGGGGTATCATCTAGTTCAGTGAAAAATCCAGCCCAACCAGCAGACAAGAAGAAACAAGAATGTCTCCAAACAATGACACCGTTTGGAGAAAGCCCAACACGGTACCATTTATAACAAAATTCCATATATCATCTGTGGCGCTGAATGCCTATTAGGGGGGAGAACACCCCTCCCCGCAAACTGGAATGCCCAGCGATCAAACTGTTAACCGACATTGTTCGTCGTTCAGAAGTGCGACGCTCTTAAACGTATCAGACGTTGAACCCTTCGGCTCTCAAGCATAGGCGATGGGCTTCGATCCACTTCCCGCACGCATCCTCGCCATGCTCCACGATGCACTCGTCCCTCAGCCTCTTTGTGTCGGGGCAGGCGCAGCATATCTTCTTCTTCGGCTTCGTGTCAGGCGCTGGAGCTTGCCCGGTTTTTTCTTCTGCAGTTGGGGCGACGGTTGTCGCAGATGCACTGTTCCCCATCTCCTCTGAAATTAATCGTAATGGTACCACATCAGTGTCAAATGTCAAAACAAAACGGGGCAGCAAGACCAACAGCTTGATTGTTCAGGGATGAATCACAGAGGCTTTAGAACACTGCACCTGCTAGTATTTTTAGAAGATACACAGTTTTCGTTACCTGGATTTTGAAAAGCCTACACATAATTCATTTATGTGCTGGGATTACTTGTTTCAACATGTTCAGAACATACCCAATTTGAAAGCTAAGTAGTACCACCTGCTAGTGAACTTTTGTATGATCATGTTCAGTGTAAACAGTATTCAGATAATGGAAATCAACAGCATCACGGAATCTGAACCATGGATGTTTTTGAACCCTGAACCTTTTTTTTTTTCGAGAAAACGCAAGAGACTTTGCGTTTCATTTCATTGAACAGGAAGACATCAGGGGTACAACCTCCAGAAAGGAGGGACACACACACACACACACAAATACACGACCGTCCTCACCAAGCGACTACAACTAGGTGAGGAGGTGCCCTCAACTATAGACACGCAACGACATTAGGCCTCGCCCAGCAGGGCAGCGTCACTGCCATTGCCAGACAGCTCCAGGGACGATTGCAGCTCCAGGACTGCCCAGGCCAACGTACCTCTCACCCATGTGCCTAGAGAGTCGGCGGGTGAAGGGCAGGGCTCAACAGGAACTGGTGTAGCAACCGTTGGAGAAGCGCGGGCGCTGGCATACATTGCGATCCGCTCCCTGTGTAGCAGTCTACGCCAGAGCGATGCATCACCAGCCTCCATCTGCCGCATCAAACTCCACTTGCAGCCAAAGCAGCGCCTACAAGAAGGGAACGGCGCTGAGACACCGCCGCTGCCCGGTCCGGGAGGCCGGACCTGGGATTTCTCCCGGTGCTCGAGGAGGAGATCTGGTCAGGGTCATGCCAACGCCTCCGAGGAGGTGACGGCACCCTCGGGCGTCGCCGTTGACAGCGCAGGCCGTCGCCGCGCGGGGATTTCGCCCCGACCCATGAACAGGGACCTCAGATGCAATGGCAGACCGGACTTGGAGAAGAACGCCGGAGAAGACCAGCACACATGGAGGGATGCCTAGGAACGTTGTAGTCGCAGGAGGAGCACCGACCGGCGCAGCGCCAGCAGGCCGGCCACCGCCGGGAGCGCGACGAGCAGGCGACAACAGCCACCTGCACCGCGCCGCCGCCGCGCCGGCCCGCAGCCTCCACCGCCAGGAACCGCCGGGGCACAGCAGAGCAGCAGCCGTCAAGGACTGCCGCGCGCGTGCTCACCCGCCCAGCGGCTACCACCGACGGCGGCCGGGAGGGGTGGAAGGAGGGGGACGGGTGGGTTGGGGCAGAAACGCGCAGCCCAGATCTGGGCGCCCTCATCTCTGCAGCTCGCAGCAGCGGCCGGCCGCTGCCACAGCAGCGCCACCGCGCATGCGTTCCACACCATCACGGCCTCCCCTGAGCGCAGACGACCGCCTGCCTCGCCACCGCGCGCTCCCGCCGCTCCAGCGCACAAACAGCAGCGCGCGAGCCCACGG